GCGGTACGAATCGAGGGGGGTACTTTAGACGGGTAATCCTCCGGTGGTCGTTGCGCTGGAACCCCCATCCCCTATACTACTATTAGTGAACGGAGCAGTGCTGACGCCATCCGCGCGCGCGAAGTGCTGCTAGATCCTGCGACCATCTTTCTTTTTGTGTAAACAAATTCAATACCGAAACAAAAATACTAACTATATAATGAAACGGATAAAACAGCTTTTTCCGTGCTCCATTCAGTAATAAAGCACTTAGAAAGCGCCATAAGTACTTAAGAAGTGTGAAGCTGTTTTATTTGTTAAATAAATGATTTTGCGCGGTAGCCAGCGAATTAAAATATTTCAAATATTTTATAAACTGAAATAGTGCTTAAATTAATTGTCATGGCTCTGCGAAGTACTAATCGTTCCGGTTAAACAATTTGATTGCTCCTGAAACATTAACTATCATATATAATAATATTTAATAATAATGTTGTATAATAATAATAATAATTATAATTATAGGCGCAATGTTTACCCATTTCAAACCACGTGTCATTCAATTGAGAATAAGATTTTTTGTCTAAGTTGTATCCATATTCCCATATTCACGTGTTTTTGCTCGCGCAAAACTTAATTAAATAAATAATACTCAAGAGAATGACACGTGGTCCAAATTGAAAAATATTACGCCCAAGGTAAAGAGGTCTATTGCGGGACACATTCTTGCCGCTGAATTGGACCAAGAAATGCGTCACACGAGTTGTTTATGGAAGAAAGATAACGGCTTTAACATTGAATCTTATGGCATTAAAAAACATAGTTGAATACTAGTTAGGTTACCAGTAGTAAGTAGAGAATAACCCCACACGCCCACATATCCACTGCGGAGTCTATGGAACTCTCCAAGATGGTCTCAGGGGCAAGATACATAGGAGAACCGCTACCACGACAGGAGATAGTACGCACACCATCTGTCGTAATCAAAATATTGACAAATTAATTGCATCAAACTCATTGTCTTATTATTACCACAAACGCTAACACTGAATTGGTCTCACGAAAACGACATGTCCAGAARCTATTTCTAAAGTCGTACGGCCACAAAGGCGATACAGGGATTTTCATGCATTAGGGGCCAGACGAGATAAATGATATAACGAGGTCAAAACGGAAACGTAGGTCTTTCATACGGTTTACCAACAATGCAATAGCATTGGATGCATGCAAATGAGATGCTATTAATGCATGAGACAACAAGCATTGTATCGACCCGATAGCTTTACTTGTATGATTCTCAAACAATAGAATATCTCATACTGAGAGCCCTTCATAGTCTAACTCACCTTTCATAAGCTTCGCTATTCCAAAGTCTGTTAGCTTAATCACCGGCGGTTTTTCCTCGCACGATCTCTCTGACAATAGCAAGTTTTCAGGTTTTAAATCCTGGAAAAAGAGACAAGTCTGTGAGTTTTGCTGCGCGATAAAACTGGTGTCTGGAACTTGTGTGCAACGGTATCTCGAGACGAGTTCTAGAGACAGATTCCTCGATACGGCGCAGCAATTGTAATTTTTATGTCACAGAGGAAAATATCTCGTTTTTTGCTGACCCTCATCTCAAAACATCTATTCTGGATGCAAGGCCAGTCAAGTCTCTCTAAGTTTGGATGACTGCGCAAACATGAAAAAAGGGTCGATTTTGCTTTTTTTTTAATTTAAAGGATCCACAGGTTGGACCCCTTTGAATAGCTCAGTACTACGCTTTTTTGGCCGGTCTGCCCTTGAAGAAGGAAACAGGTCTTACAGAACAACACGACACAACGCATCACCACACATTAACATAACATTTCATAACACGACACAAGAACACGACAAAACACAACGCAACTACACAAGCGCATCAAAACACAACAGAACAGAACATAACACTTGAACACAACAAATCACAACACCATACCTTACAGTACACCACAATAGCCTTTCTTTTTTATAGTCTTAACAGTGTTGAAGCTAATAAAGGAATAACGTATAACCAAAAGTTTCTCTGTGAGGCTTTGTGCTTACCCTGTGAATGATTCCCTTCTCTGATAAATATTTCAGAGCCTTCAAAACCTGCCGAATACACGCGCATGCGTCCTTCTCACTGTAGTGTTTCCTGGACACAATACCATCAAACAGGTCTCCACCTGGAAGGTACTCTAGTACCATGAGAACTGATGTATCAGTGTAGAAAACCTCTTCTAACTTCACTATGCTTGGATGGTCGAGGCACCCGCAGATCTGTCGAGGTAAGGGCCAACATGTCGAGTCAGTATTTTACTGACAATCAGCGGGAGTAAACGGTTATTTTGATGATGGTAAGACGTAATTTATAGGTGTTTGTAGCAGGTGTTCGTTCGTAGTTTACCGATTTGATTTTTATTTTACGATTGGAAGGAAATTGAGATTTAAGACGTCGTAGAAAAATCTTTGACACTGACTAGAAACGGCAGTAAACATCCACATTGGATGCGATTCATGCCAAACCAATGACAGCAATCATTTTGAACATAACAATGAACTACTCACGATTCAGAGCGCAATGACTACTCAAGACTTGTCGTGATCAAGGGTAACTTTGAAATATTGCTTGGATGGGCTTCCTGTGTCCCTACACAAACTAATCCTTTACATAAGAACTAAACAACGTATGTAAAATTCTTGATTTACAAATCGCGAATACAGTAAATATTGACCAGAGTTACATGAGTCATCCGTCTTTGAAACATGCGGTCAGTACACCGGCACTTCATATGAAATGCAGCATTTCTTGTAAAACTCTTATCATTAAATTGATATATTTTGATGCTCTAACTGCTACTTTGATATTTGCCCCAAAATCATTATTCTTTACAGTTAGTTTGGTTAAGTTTTGGTTGTAAATATGAACCTGTTTGATTGCCAGTTAATAAGTGAAGGTAAAGTACGGCAAAGGAACTAAAGATTACCTCAGCTTCTTGCACAGCCTTTTCTCGATCGTCTTTACCGTTGGTTACAACAATTTCTTTTACCGCAAATAACTCGTGTGTTTTCAAGTGAACACACTTCTTAACTTCCCCAAACGAACCTTTACCAATAAACTCTGTGACTTCGTACGCATCTTCAAACTTCATATCGTCTTGCCGCTCAAAAACATCAACTTGTGAAGTAATTTTACGAGGTGGGATTGAGAAACTAGACGAGCTTTTCAGCGGTAATAAAGCATTCTCAATCAAGAAGTATTTCAGGGCCGTCAAATTTGAAAGTCAATCTGCTAATTAGCGTACTTTTATTTACTTTGAGCTGTTCGTCATCATTAGAATTGACATTGTCTTTTCAAATATTGTGTACAAACTACTAGCAACAGTTTTCGCCGAACGGAAATGTCAACTTTGGTAAAATTGAATACGCATTCCTTTCGTTTGATGTCAAGAAACTTGACACAGGGACTAATGTGAAGAAACGTATTAGTCAATAATAAAGATGAATAATTTTTTGATTGAAAACTAATTGAATACTTAAATTGAGTTGAATGTGTTTGACAAAGGCGGTTCAATAAATGACGGGCCTTTTGTCGAAGTTTCTAGAGGTTTTGCCGCTGCTCGTTTTACTCATAATGGAAAATTCCAAAAGCTAATTGATCTTTACAGCAAACAAAAGGTGTTGCTTAAAGTGTTTTGTACTTGTTGTAAAAAGGGCCAAATTTTAAAGCAATAAAAGATAGGCGAGTTTGGTTAAAAAATAAGATTCCCTCCAGGCAATGAAGTTTTAAGAGTAAAATATCGAAACGTTTTGGCCAGATACTGTTGTCAGGTTGTTGTGATGTCATGCGTGACATCAATTCCTTTATTTGATCTTCTTCTACACAGTTTTTGAGTAAAAAGATGGACCAGCTTGGTTGAATTTGATTATTTTCAGACAAAATTTAAATTAACTAAAACAGATGGAACAGACTGATGGAAACCCGCTTTGGCAGATTTATGCAGTTGGCTGTGCCGGATGGCATTTGACATAAGCTTTCATTCCACCTACTTCAGTGGCCGGTTTGGCGGAGTATGATGACACAAACAAGTGCTAAGAGTAAGAAGTTGGCATTTTGAGATGCAAGCCACGGTCTCCTCAGCGATAATAAGTTTTGTCTAAATTCTGGTGTAGTTTCCAGCACTCTTCAGTGAGGCAACTGTGGCAACCAACCCCTCTGATACAACGCTAAAGGTCATTTGCACGACATACATGTGCTCTCGCGGTCATAACAGATAGTGTAGGACTGGGACCTGGGGTGGCTTGCCATTTCACTACTACAATGATGGCCTTTTGTCAGATATCAACCAAGGTAAGAAAGAATAAAACCGAATCGCATAGTTTCCGAGGTCCCTTGGAGACTCTTATCAACCTGGCACAGTGTTTGGCCACCGCAAGCCACCTCTCATCCTCCTTCATTGCGCTTGGTAAAACCAATGAAGACGACAAGTTTGATTAGGTTTTTTTTATTATTTGTAATTAAACCTGTTGTGTCAAAAGTGCACAAAAATTAACCCGAACCCAGAAAGGAAACACGCTTATATTTCTGTGATCCAAGGCTCTAGGCAACGCAGGTTTGGACAAAGGCTTTTCAAGTAAGTGAAGTTCCGTCCATTCAAAAGCAGCTTTCCAAACTGGTGATTGTGATTTAATACAAAACTCCTAACCTTTTTAGGATGTTGAGGTCGCAGAATGTCAACTAGAAATAATCTTACAAATCTCTTAAAACATCTCATAACATAACACGGACAGCCACGTATTTATCTCTAATGGGAGTTGGTTGACGTTGAGCGGTAAGCCGGCTATTAATCATGAGAAGTCAAGCGGAATTCCTCTGATTACTTTGGCATTTCCCCCTCGAACGACTATCCATCCATCCCTTTTTAATTAAATTAAAAAACAATTTTGGTCTAAATTTGCCAAAAGTCGAATGTATTTGATACGTGTCTTCAGTCTTCGGCTCATTGTGCATGTCGAGTATAAATAAAATAATTTATCTATCTAATAGTCGGTCGATAGGTATAAGCTACACATCTTTTACAGGTTGCAACATATCACCAACTTTATGGTCTTACCGCCGTTTGCATTGTTACGCGGCCTCCCCAGACAAAAATCGCGACGTGCACTTTTCAATAGACTGCCGCGAATCAAACACGTTGACGTCATTTACACGCGTGTGTGATTCAAAAGGCGCCAAAACTTGTCAATTGTTTACAAGTATTATGAGTCACACTCACCGGGCCTATCCGGGCCGATCCAAACGCGTGTAAATGACGTCAACGTGTTTGATTGACGGCAGTCTATTGCAAAGTGCACGTCACGATTTTTGTCTGGGGTGGCCGCGTAGCAATGCAAATGGCGGTAACGTCTGGCTATGCGGTTAAACTAACATTAATCACAGTTATATTTCAAGCTTTCTGAATCAAATGTGGTGTCAGGTCTTGTACTATCTCCTCCATCGTCGGCCTTTCTTCATGATTTTCTTTGGTACATCGGACAACGAAGTCTTTGACCACAGGATTAGCTACTAGAGTGAGTTGACTTTGAGTTTGATCTGGGACAGGAAGTTCCCGGATGGCCATCTCGCAGAGCAACAGTCCAAAGCTGTACACGTCGATCTGGAAACAAAACAAGCAATGATGTGTCATGTCTTAGGTCTAACTTTACTGGCATTTACATCTTGTCACTGATGCGCGAATCAGTTCTAATGTATATTTTCAGAGGATGCGGGCGTGCGGTGTATGCGTGTTCCGTAGGGCGAGATCATCACAAACATGTACCAACCATGCGCCGACTGATGTACATTAAACAGTACAGAGCAAATTTCTATGGGAAATGATGACACTCGACGAAAGATGAAGATCCCTACCTATTCAGAATATCTGGACAGGGTACCATTATGGCTATGACATCGTGAGGGATTCGTGAGCAATAAGATTATTTATATCCGTTGCGACGACTTTCCGGCGGACTGATAAAACGGTTGAAGATGCATGTACATCCCGCGCGTGCTCGGTACAAAACTTAAATGGTCAACAAGAGTAAGGAGAGACATCGTTGTGTGAGGAATACTTCGGCTTACAATCTTACCTTAGGTGTCTGCTGAACGGAGAACGCTTCAGGTGCTGAATAAATCACTGCTCCAGGATTCACTGTCCTACACTGTCTCATAAAATTCGCCGCCCCATAATCCGACACTTTGGCTCTCCATCGATCATCACGTTTCCATAGCAATACGTTAGCACTGCTGATGTCGCGGTGAATGATGGGAAATGGTTTGTTCAAATGAAGGTAGTTGAGTGCTCTAGCAACATCTAGAGCAATGGAGAAGACTTCAAGGTCATTTAAAGCTCTTGTTTCAAGAACTGCTCTTAGATTTGTGTCTAGTAATTCAGTTATGAATAGCGGGCTGCCATTGTCATTTGTGGCGCCTATAAACTGCAGCAAGCAAGGATGCCGGCAGCGTGACGCTATGCTCATTTCCCTTTCAAAGAGTCTTCGGTTGTGTGGCGATAGTATAAGGTCATGGATTTTTTTCACTGCTACCGAACAGCCGCGAAACGTTCCCTCGAATACCTGACCCCAGGCTCCCTTACCGACAGTCTTATTGGTCACGTGGATTTCGTCACGATCAATTATCCAATCACAGGGCTCAGTATCATCATGTTCCTCTTTGGTCGGGTTTGTCGGATTGCTCAGGTTGGTCGGACTGGCCGCTTCCAGCTCGTGAATACGGTATTCATAATACTGCTTATGTCGTTCGAAATCTTGTTCTTTCTGTGTAAGAGATCTCTGTGATTGTTCAAGTTGTTCCTGCAAAGCAGCTTTCCGACTGACTTCTTCCTCGAATTGTTCTTGAATCTGAGTAAGTTGTTGTTCTRTATTAGTTCTTAGAGTTCTCTCTTCCAGCAAACGACGTTCAAATTCGTCCCATTCACGATTAAACGCTTTTCTTTGCTGCCTCTTGCTTTTCTGTTCTTCCAGTAGTTTCTCCTCTGCCTCTACTCTTGCCACTTGTTCCTGTTGGACCATCTTCTCTAAGTACATTATTTTCTCATTCTGAGCAGCTGCCTGTGATTCCAGTTTCATTTCCCATTCCATATTCTCTTGCTTCCATTTTGTCTCTTTTTCATGCAATTCAGTTTTCATTTTCATGAGCTGCTGTTGCAAATCATCAACAACACATTTCAGCTCAGCACCATCAGTACAAGGCTCAACCTTTTCAACTTCTTTGTTAGATTTCTCATCAAAATTATTCTCATTCAGTTTATCAATGGAATCTTCATCCACATTCTCGCAGTTGTCAGAGATTCCGTTATTTTGTGTTTCCTCAGAAGTTTTTAACTCGTTACACAAGTTTTTCTTCTTTGACTCTATACCGCACGTCTCATTTTTATTTGTATCTTTAACAGCAAGTTCTTTCGTTTCCTTAAGCAATAACTTTTCCTTTTCATCTTTACCTGCTTCCTTTTCTGGAAAAAAGTATAAAACACTGTGTTATGCACTGTGTGATATTAAATAATATCCTTCACGTGGCTTTTGACAAGGCAATTTCTTATTCCAAGTATTCCAGCTTTCTATTCAAATTATGGAGAATATTAATCATTTGCACATGTGGAATCTCTTTAGAACTTACAAAATAATGATAAATTGGATTGCATGCTACAAGAAAAGTAATCAATCTATGGTTCCCAATGCTTTGTAATCAACAAAACAAGTAGACATGTACTAGCCCTCTGCAATGTTCAATGACCCTTATGTTCTGCATGATTATTGTAAGAAAGAGCTTGTATTTTTTTATTTATTTTCCCATTTGCGTAAAATGATTTGAGATTCTTGAGGTCCAATGAAGTAAGGTGGATCAAGATAGCCAATGTGCAAGAGCATGAATCTCTATAGCACAAAGCATGATGGGAAACYGAGTACTTATGATTTTTCAGCTCCTCTAAAAATCCCTCTGACAATTTAACCTTGGACATTTTCTATGAAACTCATAAGTATTTTGACAGACAAAAATAACAGAGTAATTTTTTCTGATAATTCTATTGATTTCCTTGTTCTGATTTGTGTAGTACTCGGTTTCCCATCATGCTTTGTTCTAAAGATTTGTGCTCATGTACATTGGCTGTTAGAGTAGATGTGGGGAGAATTGGAGTAGATGGGAGGGGAGGGTTGGAGTAGATGGGGGGAGGGTTGGAGTAGATGGGGGGAGGGTTGGAATAGATGGGGGAAGGGTTGGAGTAGATGGAGGGGGGATGGTTGGAGTAGATGAGGGGGGAGGGTTGGAGTAGATGGGGGTTAGGGTTGGAGTAGATGGGGGGAGGGTTAGAGTAGATGAAGGGGGGGGGGGTTGGAGTAGATGGCGAGAATGGGATGTGGGAGGTTTCTCCATAAGATACCCTGGGTCTCCCAGCAACACTATATAGCTGTAGAAATGTCAAAATATACTTGTTTCTATAGCAACACAACAAATTGGTTATGTCTTGCAAATCAAAAAGGGAGCCCATACCTATTATGAGATCATCACAGCAACAAGTGGCACCATGGTACCAGCAGGGTGTCTCTGAAGAGGCACAACTGGTCCTGCTCATGGCAGAAGAGGCCATTTCCTTTTGTCCTCCCCTCCCTCCCCTTTCCCCCTTGGACCACCCTGTACAGCTACTAAACCTAGATGAGGCATCAAACCCAATATCACTTGAACTGACTCTCCCCTCTAGTATTTTGGACATAGGTAGCCCAATGTCACCTGAACTCACTCTCCTCTCCAGCATCTTGGACATAGGTAGCCCAATAATACCTGAACTCACTCTCCCCTCAGTATCTTGGACGTAGGTAGCCCAATATCACCTGAACTCACTCTCCCCTCCAGTTTCTTGGACATAGGTAGTCCAATTAAAAAAATTAATCGTTATATGCTTTACCCCCTGCCCCCTTTCTCTGAATTTCTTAGGCCTGTTACTAAAAGATATGCAAGATCTGCTTTAGTTATGATACAATGTGGTAGCAGATACCTACCAGGAAGTGAGGTGCTACCACAACAAAGCTTGTCCAAAGCAACAAATAAACCACTACCAGGTGAACAAGTAAAATATCTCTTGCATTGAATTGTACCATCACATGTGCCCTGCCATCTATAACGCTGATCCTAGAGACAATTCAATGAGCAACATTATTATAGCAAATGGGGATTCCAATCAGCAGTATTTTTTCTACTGTATCTCATAGAGTTTTTGATGTAGTCCCAGTCAAATTGCTCACCAAAACTGCTACAAAACAAACAAAAAAAAAAAAAGAAACTGCTATTGTTTTTTGACCCCAAAGTTGTCTCTCCATATGATTTTAAAATGTTGTCAGATTTTGATAGAGTATATCTAACAATGAAACATTCAAACACATGGGAGGACCACAGTAATGCTACACACATACAATACCACTTGCATAGTGAAAGTCCTAGAGTTGGAGAGGTGAGCAAAGATATGCAAAATCCACAGGAACCCCAATGATGTATGTAGTCAAAACTACCACTCAATTAATCACAAGATACTTTAAGGAATAGAGTCCTTGTAGTCCATCAGAATACAGCTCAATTTAGAGAACATAACAATAGGTTTCCAATTCTCATAAAATTGAAATTTTTATTCATTTTTTTTGCCATCCAAATTGAGCTGCCATTTTCTTATAAATTCAATGTTCACTACAGACATTTTAAATTCTCCTCACCAAAATTTGCATGGCGCCAAGGCATCATCAGAAACAAATTATCGTATTTTTAATAAATTCGTTCACATAAAACCATATATAAATATTCAACCTTTCAATAACTCATTTGTGCAAAACCATAAAAGCTTACCAATATTTCCACACCATACATTGTCCCATCATATGATGATACTGGTCCTTTATACCTCACTATTGCTGAAACGTCTTTCTTAATGTCCTTTATCCTTACAGATACCTTAGTACCTTCCTCTAGGCTGCAGCCCACAGCCAAACATCCTTCTTCTACGATTCTGCATCTTTCTAAGTAAGAGTTCACCGCAAGTAACAGTTGAGTTTCATCGTACGTTAACCATTTCAGATCCTCACGATTGCACTCAACGTGATGGAAAATCTGTTTAACACCTCGAAGAGCAATTTTATTCGTGTCTTCGGGTTGTTCTTCTGGTTTTCGAGCCTCTAGAAGCTCTCCTCTCAGAGCTAACATCTCAGACGGTGGGACGTCCTCAGATGTGTAAACATAACTTGAAAGCATTCCCCACCACGATGAACCACTCGAAAACTCAGGATTCTCGACATCTTTTAATAGCAGATAATATCCTGTCCTGGAATCCATTATCTAATTAGATTCTCTTCTCGATCCTTCATAAGTGAAGCTTTTTTAATTGCGATCTATTAAATAGACGATCGATAACACTTGCCACGCCTTGATTGGGTTTTCAGTATTCCAAAATAACACCGAATTCTCCAGGTGTTGACTCTCCTATTATGTCGTAGAGATAAAACTTGACGGCCACTGGGCTACAATAATTTTTCAACGCATTTCCTTTGATATTTAAGTCAGATTTTCCTTTAACGAATTATCAGTCTTCCTTCCGCTTCCGCCATTTTGTGGGCATTCTGTGCCAACAGGTTAGACGAGTAAGCCTGGGCCCAAAACCTTTTTTTGACTCGTACTCAGGCTTTTGTATTTACTCGTCCAATATGGCGGCGTAAGAGAGATGAATGAAGACGCGTGTCAACGATTTTTAAACAATTTTATTAGAAATTCTACCCTTACTGAGTAAGTATTGTTTGCATTCGATGCATTTATATGTGTGTTATGTCATGGCATCGACTGCTGTTTATTTTATTTATCCTTTGTATGAAAAACAGTGGAATTCCAAGACTATTTGATCACAGCTCGTACGAGCACGTACTATATTTTATAGTAAGCTTAACTTACTTCTCATTATAAATTTATTTACTTGCAAAATAAACGAATATTTAGCTTAATGTTTCTTATTAGTAGTAGATATAATGAGCATGGAAAAGGTAGCACCTAGAAAGTACTCTAGTGGCCTCATTAAGAGTTTTTCGATAGAGATACAGTAGATCTGAGTTAGAGGCAAAGTATTTAAACCCAATGTATCAAAACGATTCCTATCCTCTTGAAATGGAATTATATATTTTTTGTCCTGATTCGAATTAGTGCAAGGGATCTATAGAGCATTTTCACTCACCCGACAAGGGCTAAATTGCAGAATACCCCACCATTCATATGTCTCTGCTTGTAGCCACTGTGTAGCCCTGTAGCAGCGTAGCCACTTCGTAGTTATACCTCGTTCTATTAAAACACAGGAAGCCTGACGCATTAATTTTGACTGCATAGTCATGTAGCCGCGTAGCCACTTCATAGTTATACCTCGTTCTACTAAGACACAGGTAGCCTGACACATTAATTTTGACTGCGTAGCCGCGTAGCCACTTCATAGTTACAAATGCCTTCCTGTGGCGGGGTATTCTGCAGTCGCTCCATGAGAAGGCCTTAATATTAGTGTGACAAACAATTTAAACTTTCTGCACAGTGTTTGGATAAAAATAGAGTTCAATGAATTAAAACAACAATTATCACAGCCTACCATCAAAACATAGTTAATAGAGGGGAATGGTTAGGAAACCTATTGTTATCAGGTCTTTGTTCACTTGTGAGGTTGAACTGGTCTTGACGGTGCACAATGTTTGATTTATGCTCATCCGAAAATGCAAAGTAAGTAAACATAAACTTTGCCTATGGGTTTGTTGTAAGGAATATTCAAATATCTCTTATAAATATTTAAATATTTTGAACTAGCAGCAAAAAGAAATATTTTGGTCTGTTCACTCAACCATTGCCAACAATGGTAAAACAATGGTAAAACAAAGGATTGTGCATGGTCATGCTTGAAAAAAGTGAACAAAGACCTATAACAATAGGGTTTCCTAACCATTCCCCTCTATTAACTATGGTCAAAATTATTCATTGTACCAAAAAAAGTTGTCTTGAAAATTCTTTTTTAATTTCAAACCCTGTTTAGAGTTATTGCAAAATCAGGTCATCTACACCATGACTTCAAATTTGCCTTATAATTTCCATGTCTTACGGAATCTGCTTTAATCTAATCATTATATTTGATGGTTATTTTCAATGTATTTCTTTCAGATGATGCAGTAAAAGACATAAGATGCCTAGAGCTAATAGAAATAATCATGATCAAGGTCATCCAAGGACTCAAAGACCTGGAAGGCATGGGATTGTAACACCACCAAATTCAAACATGTCTCACAATAGAACCTCTGAAAACACTCCAATCACCCATGCTTCACCGACAGTTAACCTGACTAATTCAACTCTAACAGAAACACAAGCACCAAAGATTATTCCACTTCTTGTTGGAGCTACCACTGGTATTGCTAACAGTACTTCTTCAACAAAAGAGCTGGCACAAAATGCTTCAGCAATCAATGATATTCATAATCAGTCAGAAAACGTCAGTTTGATTCCAGGTTTCGAAAGTGAAGTTATCGGGAATCCCAGCAGTGTCATTGGTCATTCTTCTTTTCTCTCATCATCAGTTGCCAACGAGGAGCCAAATAATCCTCATGGTAAAGTAAATAAAAACTTCAACAGAGCAGTTAACTTTCCTAGTTTGTTTTCAACATTGGGAAAGAAAGCTGAAGCCATGCCAATCATGCATTCTTCAAACTTTTCACCTCCTTGGATACAGACATTTGAAAAAGCAGGTCTCTTAAAAGCAATTGCTTCTGAAGGCTTACCAGGTAAGAGAAATGGCTTTTCATAATGTGTTGAGTAAAAGGAAAAAAGGGTTATGAATTTTAGAATTGAGTTGTATGTTACACTGTTTGTATTATAGTTTCATATATAGATTCTTATTAGGCCATCTCTCCCCTCACCTCCCCCACTAAGTCAAGTCATGCTTTTTTTTGTCTTGGATATGCAGGTAAGGCATGCCCTTTCTATATTATGGCACCTTAAATGTGCCAACATCCAGCTCCTAACGTGTAGATATTTTACTTCTACTGGTAGTGTATTTTCATTGTACTGTATTTTTCAAAGCATTTATTAAACCTCTCAAGGAGCTTTTTAGACAATGTTATAACCCAACATTTTGCTGAGCCTTTTATACTCTAATACATGAATGAAGTGGCCATATAACAGTCAGGTTATATGGTATACTCCTTTTGATAGAAGCACTATAATCATAGAGTGCTGGATGTTACAAAAACCATGTTTTGTAGAGCAAAACAATATAAATTTTCTCCTTGGGGAAAATATCTCTTGTCATGCAAAAACATTGCATTGGTTCTGCCCTTAAACATGGCTGTTGTGAAACTATTCTATTGATAGGCCATGAAAATCTAGCCTGTGTACAGCCGCTTCCCACCCCTCCCCCCCTTCGGGAAAAAAACGAGGAGGGAGCRTTTTTTCCCCGAAGGGGGGGAGGGGTGGGAAGCAGCTGTACACAGGCTATGAAAATCAAGTCATATGATATGGTTGTACAGTATCTAATATGCAAAGTTTTACTTTTTTTTGCATTCCTTTAGAAGATTGTTCTAAAGATTCCAATACTGAAATGAAAAAATTAAGAGAGGAACTCATCCGAGAAAAAGCGGCAAGAATTATATTGGAACAGCAAATGAATCAAGAAAGACAGCAACGAGAAAGAGTAGAACAAGAACTTGAAAACATGAGGACTGTAAACCAAGAGCTTGAACAAAGTCTTCAAGCAAGTGAACAACAGAGAAATGAACTGCAAGCTACACTATCTACTGCACAACAAGCTCTTGAAGAGTATCACAGTTCCAGTAGTTCTTCTGATTGGGTATTGCGTCGGGATGAGATTGTGGTCTCTGATAAGGTGATCGGTGTAGGAGGGTGGGGTAAGGTGATGGAAGGGGCATTTCGTGGATGTAAAGTTGCGGTGAAGCAAATTCATGAGCTTATTCTCTCGCCTCACAACAGGAGGCTTTTTGAGCGAGAGATGAGCATAGCTTCCAGATGTCGTCACCCTTGTCTTCTTCAGTTTATTGGTGCAACCAACGACGACCAAAGTCCTTTGTTTGTAACAGAGCTATTGGACACGAGTCTAAGAGCAATATTACATGAACGTGCATTAGAGGCCATGGAAATCACAACTATGGGACTCGATGTGTCCAAAGCATTAAACTACTTACACCTCAACCACCCTGCTCCTATTATCCATCGGGACATTAGCAGTGCTAATGTGTTGCTATGGAAACATGGTACTCATTGGCGAGGGAAAGTGTCGGATTATGGTACGGCAAATTTTATGCAATACTCCATGACGGTCAGTCCTGGTGCTGTGGTTTACTCGGCTCCTGAGGCACAGACATCCCGACAGTCACCAAAGGTACTTGTTGTATTCCAGTATTGATGTAGCAAGGTTAACTCCCTGTATTAATGGACTAAAGTTGGTAACAAATTTAAGGTGTTTTTGAATAAATGGATGAATAGATGGATGACTGACTGACTGACTGACCAACCGACCATGACACTGAAAGACAGACAAAGAAGATAATTGAGTGAGTGATTGATTGATGGGTAGAAGGATGACAGTACTACTGATTACTTCTTCCTCATTGACTGAGATATCTCCTTGTTGATAAATGAATGGAGTAGTGATGTTGCGGCCCATAATGTCTTATCAAATTTATTGTTTCTACTTTTCAGGTTGACGCATACAGTTTTGGAGTGTTGTTATGTGAGATGAACATTCGTGAGTTCCCAGACACGACATACAGAAATGAACAAGTTGCCATGGTTACCAATCATTTTTTCAGGGACCTTATAAGGAGATGCTTGCAGCACGACCCTGAAAAACGTCCTGATATGACACAAATTATTAATCTGCTGGAGAATCAAAAATTCTAATTAGTGATATTTTAAAGAGCTATTTCAAAAAAGACTGTCTCATGAATACTAAGGGGGCTTTTATATCTATTAGCACATTGGCAAAATTGTGAAAATGAAAGCCCCCTAAGTAAAAAGAAAAATATTTTAGTTGGGGAGTCACCCTAGAGGGAAATGTCAAATGTAAGGTTTTCGGAAAGACTATTCCCTCAATCGATTTTAGGCATTCACATCAGGATTGCAGTAAAGTGCATTGGTACCTCCCTATGAACCCCCCTTAGACTTGCTCCTGTGCATAGTGAATTGCAAATCAAGGCATCACGGGTATTTCAAACTCTTGAAAACCAGGCTAATATTATGAGTGAGCTAGCTTATATATATATATATTTAAAAAAACGTACGAAATACCTAGCTATCCAAGTTATTAACTCTTGATAATAATATTTGCATGCTCCTTGCACAAATAAAACGAAGACAAAGGACTAGCGTCCGAAACGTCAGTAAGTTTTTTCATCTTTTCACGGTGTATAATTTACCTTTTCATCATTACAAATAAAATTGCATTAATATAGAAAAATTCAATAGTATTTTGACTATTCTCATTACTATTATATCTTAAATGGATGGACCAGTGATTGCATCTGAGGTTCTAAAGATTTCCCACATGCAGTAAAACGTCTACCCTCCCCTCAAAGGCTTTTTCTGACCTGCGTTCTGGCATTAGGTCGGGAGAGAAAATCCAGTGTGCTGCTCAGCCCTGTGTAGACGAAGAAAAATGCGCAGATTATATCTTGAAGGCATTTTCTGACCTCCGTTCTGGCATTAGGTCGGGAGAGAAAATCCAGTCTGCTGCTCAGCCCTGTGTAGACGAAGGAAAATGCGCAGATTATATCTTGAAATAATTAGTAAAATGCTGCTTGCGATATACCAACGCAGTCTTGACACGGCAAGTAACAAGCCAAAACAATTATATTGCTCAAGAATTTACTCTTCATTCAATTAGATACTGCACTAGTCTATTGACCCTGCAGTAACTGCTCTATTGACCCTGCAGGAACTGCGCTATTGACTGTACAGTAACTGCTCTATTGACTGTACAGTAACTGCGCTATTGACTGTACAGTAACTGCTCTATTGACTGTACAGTAGCTGCTCTATTGACTGTACAGTAACTGNCTGCTCTATTGACTGTACAGTAACTGCGCTATTGACTGTACAGTAACTGCTCTATTGACTGTACAGTAGCTGCTCTATTGACTGTACAGTAACTGCGCTATTGACTGTACAGTAACTGC